GAGGCAGTATGACCTCTGAAACGTTGGTTAACATCGACCAGACTACACAGCGCAACAACCCAGAAGACAGAAATCTTCATACTCATCGCCCTGATGACGGAGGCAGTATGACCTCTGAAACGTTGGTTAACATCGACCAGACTACACAGCGCAATAACCCAGAAGACGGATATCTTCATACTCACCGCTGTGAGAACCTGAAGTCTTACATTCTAGAAGTTATTTCCTCAGGAACATATTTAAAAAAAAAACAAGTTGCAAACAAGAATACTTGGAACTATGAGACATAAAGCAATAGAAAACAAATTAACAAACTCCAGAATTTGTATTCTTCATATAAAATTATTAGTACTGAATCAATACACGCAGTACAAAGACTTTGTGCACACGATGAAATCCATAAAAAAATCTCAAACACAATAACTGGTCTCCACGCATATATATTGTATGTCCGAGAAATTCACGTCCATTAATTTAGATGTCAGTAGCAGTTAATGGGCAAAGTACAGTGGTAATAACAGTAACTGTTGTTCGGTTTACTCTGCGCGTACAAACAAAACTGCCAATTTGAAGTTGTTAAGTGCCGTGCCCATTATTTTGAGAATCTATTAAAAATAGTAAAGTATGCCTATTACTTAGAGATAACACGAGCTTCACCGTCCCATGTTTCAGCCAAGGCCTCAAGTTCAGCAAGCTTTGATGCAGACTGCGCTTCAATTATTGCTTGCACAGATGAATGCACCTGAAGACAAAGTCAGTAAATGATAAGTTACAACAGATTCATGAGGAGGGAAGAAAACAAAGTTACAAAAGGGAAAAAGGAAAGGAAGAGAGAAGAGAAAAGATCATTCCACACTGAATTTCAACGGGCTTTCCACACTAGTTATAAAAACCTGGTATAAGTGCAATTACGAATACCAACAAAAATAATATCACAAAAATTATGTTCCTTGAAATTCATATTTCAACTACAAAAGTAATTAATACTAATAAATATGGACAGCAGAACCAATAGTACAAATGTCTAAAAATGAAGAGAATGAAAAAGATATCCTTGTAACGCTTTAACAAGATTATAGTCAAATAACACACAATTTACATGTCACATCACGTATAATATTACTTAAAAACAGTGAAACAGCATTTTTAATTTTTATGCATCATGTAACATCACTAAATGCTGTGCATTAATGTCTAACAAGCACTACTATGCAATTTGTGTATAAAAGTGTTTCAAGATAATTCCATTCCATAACTTTGGCCCCATGTTCATACAGTCACTACATTATTTGCTCTGTATTCTGTTCTCTTCAGAAAAAACAGTTTTTAACAATTTGTCTTATATATTATTTAAATCTTGTCCGTCTAATCACAATAAATTCTTATTAAATATTAAAATATTACAATAATTAACATTTAAAATATTTAAAATATTAAATGATGTTCTTTATCGAAATATTCGATTTACATTAGACCATCATTTTTCATGACATGTTTCAGTTCCTAAAAGAACTATCTTCAGGTGTATATAATTATATAAAGATTCAAATCAATAATAACTTAAATACAATTTCTATATATTATTTTAGCGAACATTTTTATCAGATGTTTATCAGATATCAATAAGATATTAATAAGAATTTATTGTGATTAGACGGACAAGATTTAAATAATATATATTTATTATATCACAATATGACGCAACTTTACCATCTCACAATTTGTCTTGTATATCCAACTGAACATGTGTATAAACAATCTATGAATGTATGACAAGACTCCAGACACACCATGTAATTAAATAAAAGCAAATACATAAAATTCCTTAAAACTCACTATTTTTGGGAGTTGTGAACTTGGCCAAGGCACACTGACAAAATCTGGCAACACCACAATGGAGTATGATTCCACATATTCAAACTTCTTCTTACATGAATCAGGATCAAAGCCACCTTCAACACCAATAGCCAGGCGTGTTATTTTTTTCTCAGGTCCATCTCCTTGCTGTTCTGAAGGGACCTAAAATAAAAAGTGACGTTACATTTAAAAAAGCCACACCATTATATGTCATGTAGGTATACAGGGGAGAGGAGGTACAGCTTCTACTTATTCTCAACCTCTGCACTAGATGAAGGGGAGTGGTCTATGTCACACCCAACCTACGCTTCACCCCGGGGGAGTATGGACCCCCACTACCCATTCGACTGGAGGCTAGAACAAATCTTCTGCCCCTGTAACAGACTGAACCACAATCATCCAGTCTGTAGTCAGTCACTATACTGACTGAGCCACCTGGCTCATGCTGTAAAACTTTTCTTTGGTCTATTAAGATGACAAGTCGCCCTCCGTGGACAAGTGGTTAGCGTACTCGCCACTGGACCCAAGGTTCGCGGGTTCGATCCGGGCCGAGGTCGATGGATTTTTAAGGGCGATAAAAATCCGTAGCACAACTTCCTTCGGAGGGAAGTAAAGCCGGCGGTCCCATGTCGTAGATTTACGGCATGTAAAAGAACCTTGCGAGCATGATACGAGATGCTTTGTAAGCAAAATTCAGCTGCCATTTCTCACCCAAGTCTCTCCTGATTGACTGCTAGATGGCTCTGGCAATCATATCAGGATTGAGTAGAAATTATGCAGAGGCAGTGGGCTTGTCACTCACTACGCATAAATGACTAAGAAACCTCCGAAAGGAGGCGGCAACGACCCATTACTGGGTTAAGCAACAAATAGATTAAGATGACAGCCTTCTTGTATGTTGCGCTGTGTAGTCTTGTAAAATCTGACTGATATTTCAGAAGCAGTGTGCACCTCTGAAATGTTGGTCAACTTCTATGAGACTACATGGAACAATATCTCAGAAGGCTGTCACCTTCATACTCACTGACAAAATAAAATGAAATCCCACTTATCTTTATTAGATATTGCTGTAATATTATACCTAACATACCATCACCCTCACAAGAACTCTTACCACCAAGAAACCTAAGGAGAATTAAAAAGATTTCCAATATGTCAATTAGGATCTTAGCTACTAGACAGCATGGGAACGTCAATTATAGTGACATGTTCTCGCAAGAGTTATGACATTCCGTCCAGACACAACACTTCATATATCTTCTTATTAATAGTCCACTGGCCAGTAGATCCATGTAGTCTGGTAGAAGTTTACCAGTGTTTCAGAGGTCACCATTACCAATTGCCCTGAAACACTGGTAAACTTCTACCAGACTACATAGTACTACAACCCTGAAGTCGACCATATCTGTTATTTTCAAGGACATCTCTTAATTAAAACATAAGCTACAAAACTTTTATAAATACTTGCCCTACTTTTGCATTAAGGATCTCACATGTGTAGCGTAATTATATAAATCTGTTTAATTAAACATCTCGGTCTGTGTAAGTTTCTATTTTATTTTATTTGTAGTGTTCTGTCTGACGACAGGTACATATGAACAGGATCCTTCCATCCTTTTCTCGGACTGGGACCTGTTCATATACGTTCTTGGCAGATGATCCAGAAGTGGTTTGCCATTGCCTGCTTCTGTGTGTGAATAGAGTAATTGTTGGGATGCCACGGAGAAAAACTCCGTGTTGCCTAGACCACGGCCATGCCCAACACAAGTTATAAATTCGACCACTGGGAATCGAACCCGAGACCCCAGGATTACAAGGCCAGCGTTCTAACCGCTAGACCACCGTGGCATATATTAAACCACTTCCCAAAAATTTTCACTAGCATCATAATCATTCATAGTTTTTGCAACTATTAATGTGACACATAAAGTCTAAAATTTTCTATCTGCATAACCTCTTGGATATCTTGTACTGTCCTACAATGCCATATAGTGCACAAATACAAGAATACCATGCAGATCTAAAACAAATAATACAAAAAAAGATACACTCTGTTTCAGACCTTGACTGTAATCTTAATAGACGGAGTGTCTAATTTTACTTTGTG